ATGAGGGCATTGTGCTGAGTTTTTCTTAAAATCAAATGTATTTATCCCTGTTTAATGTTACCCTGCCCTTCTTAGCTTTAATGGCATACAGATGTTCTCTCTTATATAAAACAATGATGTGTGTGTGTCTTTAATGTCCTAACCGGGCAGGTGATAAACTGTAGCCCTATGTCCATCCGCCCTATTTCTTATTTTTTAGTTCTTACCCACTGTGTCAAATCCAAAAGCCTGAGGACCACAGCTTTAGACTCTGGCTAGAGATCTTAGTATGGGCGGTGGTCTTTTCCTCAGCTTCTGCCCCTGCTTTTCAGTCCCCGGCTGCCTGGGGGACAGGCGACAAGCTCACTGCCCCAGGGGGTTTGCAAGCTCAAACGCTTGCACAGGGGCTGCCCAGGTGCCACAAACGAGTGAGCAGGCCCACAGCAGTGTCCTGTCTCGTTACCTGACAAGTGTCTCCATGTGTCAACGTCGCCTCATCTCCTGATTTAAATGCTGGGTTTTTTTTAGATTCTTAAAATAAAAGACCACCACCTCCGTGATGACAAGCAGAGATATTGTGCAGCTTCACCGTGGCGCCCGGCTGCCAGTGTTGTTAGTCTCAATCCAGATCAAGTCCCAGCAGTGACCTCCAGCTCCCCATGAGGCTGTCCGTCCACGCTGCCTTTCAGCTCATCCAGAGCCTTCCCGACAAGGGCCGCCAGGGGCTATGCTGACAGCTGGGGCTTTCCAGTCTGCCGAGGTCAAGGCCTGGGCCCAGGAGGGTTTCTAGAGAGTTCCAGGGCACCCTTCTAAGAGACACTCTGCCTGGAGGGAACTTGTTCTGTGGTATCAGGCGGGGCTGGTGCAGCCTTGGGTCTCCCTACCCTGCCTGGCCCCAGAGACTGGGTGGGACAGGGTGGTGGCTGGGGTCAGCCTCGTCTTGTCATTTCCTGGACAAGTCATTTGACAGCTCAGTTTGGTCATCTGTAAAATGGGGGTAATTACAGTGGGCCCCTCGTTGAATGGGCATGAGGGTTAAATAGACTAATGGAGGTAAAGCCCTAAGAGTGGCAGCTGACACACACGGGTGCGTGTGTCAGTGTTGGCGTCTGCGCACTAATCTTAACTCAGAGGCGAGGAGGTGGAGGTCAGAGAGCGAGAGAGAACACTCCGGAGCAGGCGAGAGCGACCTCCTCTCTACTCCTCCTCCCTCTGCCCTCGGGCCTGCCCCCAAGGTCTCTGCTCTCCCTCTCAACACCTCTGCGCTGTCCCTGGACCGCTAGTGTAACTGCTCACTTTCTTTCTTAAAATACCATCATTTTGTGCCCTGACTGGTGTGGCTTAGTTGGTTGGGCGTGAGCCTGTGCACCTAAAGGTTGCTGGTTCGATTCCTGGTCAGGGCACATGCCAGGTTGCCAGCTCCATCCCTGGTGGGGGCGTGCAGGAGGCAGCCAATCACATCGATGTTTCCCTCTCTCTCTCCCTCTTCCTTCCTCTCTCTAAGGGAAAAAAAAAGGCAATAAAATATCATCATTTCTGCCTGTGTCCTGATGCCCCTCCTATTAGCTTAAGTCTCTCTTCTTTCTTTTCCTCTTTCCCATCCTCCTCCCCTCCCTCCCTCTTCTTCCTCCCTCCCTTCCTTTCTTCCCTCCTTCCTTCCTTTTTTCTTTCTTCTTTTTTTGTATCGAGCATGAAGCCTCATCATAGAGTTGAATGCACGAGCCAGAGGAAGCCGTCCGACAACTGAATGTTGTTTGGTAACTGAGGGTAGACCTGCCTTGGATTTCCCACTTAGATGAGCATTTCAGTCTAGAGCAGGGGGGATTCCGCCTCCCCCACCCCTCTCCTGGGGTCACGAGGCACTGTCTGGAGATATTTTTCATTGTCACAATGGGAGGGACATGCTACTGGCCTCTAGTGAGTAGAGGACAGGGCCAATGATAAACATCCTTCATGCATAGGACAGTCCCCACATCAAAGGGTCATCCAGCCCCAAAGGTCAGTGGTGCCGAGGCTGAGAAATCATGGTCTAAAGTAAGATCCTGCAGGAGAGGAGACGGAACCCCAAAGTCAGATTACCCCAACTCCTGAGTCTGCAGTTGGCCTCGAATGTGTCTTCAGAGCACCCTGGCAGCCATGCCCTGCCCCCTCTGCAGGCCCTGGCTGAGTCTTTGTCCGACTTATTTCCCGGCCTTTGTGAGCGTGGAAAACCCATCAAGCCAGCGCATCTTATCACCACAGCGCCATCGAGCGTGTTCCGGCGTCTCCCGCCCCGGCTGGGCTCGTGTGCGGCTCTTTCCAAACACGCCTGTCTCTTCCAGCCACAGAGAAATGCGGAGTGACATTTTCTAAACATGTCACTTTGTAAAACTGCCAAACCTAATCGCAAGGCACAGAGAACCTTGTCGAGATCAGAACTGACTCGAGGAGCCGGGCGGGCTCGGCAGCTGGAGGGGCTGTGTCGCGGTCGCTTTGCAGGTAACACGGCTCCTTGAAGGAGGACTTGCATAATGTTTCTCCAGGATGACCTCTCCCGGCTTGGAAGGCAGCAAACACTGTCTGGACTTCACAGACTGGGGTTCACACCGCTTGTGGGTGTCCATATTGTGTATCTTCATAACATCTTTGGCGGAGGGGGGGGTGGCTGTTACGAGGTGGCAGGTCGATTGATTTTCCCGTTTTTCCATTGAAGAAAAGTGTCCGCCAGGAAATCCCAGTATAATGCTGTCTTAAAGCTCTCCTGTTCTGTCCAAATGCATTTCCAACGCTCTGAAGAAGTCAGCAAGGGTTTGGCTTTGTCAAGAAAAAGAGACAGCCGAAAAGCGTAGTCAAGTGAAAACAACAAACGTGCAGAGGGGCCGGTCCAGCCGAGTCCTTGGGTGTAGAGGGTAGGCCCTGATCTGGGAGAGGAGGGACCCGGGAGTCTGGTTGCTAGGCAGTGGTTCCCATGGGGAGGAGAGCATCGTGGGTTGGCTATCGACACATAAAAGACGGGCCAGGACAGAGGAAAGGAGGAGGCTCAGCCCCTCTTCCTCCCTCCTCTGTTTCCGAGCTGGAGAAGGAAATATATGCAAATAAAGACCCGAAGGGTAGTTGCAGGTTTGCTGTGCAATTAAGGGGGCCGTTCTTTGCATGGCAGAAACCAGGTCATTAGCGTGGTGTGAAGAAACCATCTTGACTTTCAGATAATGCTGGAGATGAGTTGAGAGTCAGCTTTTGAAATCAAGAAGCCAGGTTTTCCTGAGAGTTGAAAGGAAACCAGAGGTAAGCAGAGATCGAAAGCAGCTGTGCTGCCCTGGCCGGTTTGGCTCAGCAGTTAGAGCGTCAGCCTGAGGTCCGGAGAGACCCGGGTTCGGTTCCCGCTAAGGGCACGTACCTCGGTTGCAGTTTGTCCCCGGCCCTGGTTGGGTCGTGCGGGTGGCAGCCACTCGATGTGTCCCTTTCACGTTGATGTTTCTCTCTCTCTCTTCCTCGCTCTCCCTCCCACTCTATCTGAACAAAAAATGGGAAAAAAGCCCTGGCCAGTTTGGCTCAGCGGTTAGAGCGTCGGCCTGAGGTCCGGAGAGACCCGGGTTCGGTTCCCGCTAAGGGCATGTACTTCGGTTGCAGTTTGTCCCCGGCCCTGGTTGGTCGTGCGGGTGGCAGCCACTCGATGTGTCCCTTCACGTCGATGTTTCTCTTTCTCTCCCTTCCTCTCTCTCCCTCCCACTCTATCTGTACAAAAAAAAAAAAAAAAAAAGGGAAAAAATGTCCTCAGGTGAAGAAAATAAAAAAAAGAAAGCAGTTGTGCTGATTGTCAGAATGGCGTTCCCACATCTCTGCGGAGCTGTGTCGCTGAAGGCAAGCTATAGAAACGCTCCAATTTCCGTTTTCTCATCCATGGTTGGCGTAATAATAGCACCTACCTCAGAAGGCTGTGCGGATTAGGAGTTGATATGTGTGCAGCATTTAGAACAGTGCTTGTATGCGGTAAGCGCAAAGGAGGGTGAGTTCCTACTATGTTGTTTTTCTCTCTTCTTCCAGAGAAGAAGCAGAAGATGTGAGTTCTTTATGCGTTTGAATGTCATGCATTTTTTCTTAATCTCTGAAGTCTGTGAAATCATGGCAGCAGCTTGACTTTGTAGATAGTTTAAGCTGTGTGTTAACTGGGATGTGTAGACTGTGCTTGGTAACAAACCCTACCAGCCCCATCCCACACGTCTGCCCCGCCCTCCACCCACACTCCCAGGCTGGGTGTTACCGGGTCTGGATTAGGGTCTACAGATCCACAACCCTAAAAAAAGTATGTTGCCCTTCCATCAACATCCTGAGTGATTCAAAATCAAAAGAGTACCACGCCTTAGGGAACCCAGTGCATTCTGATGTCTCCCATCATGGTTCCCTGAGGCTTTTTAATTTTTTGTTTTATTCTCACCTAAGGATATGTTTTTATTGATTTTAGAGAAAGAGGAAGGGAGAGGGAGAGAAAGCGAGCAATATCAATGAGAAGGAACATCTATTGGCCGCCTCCTGCATGCCCCCCACTGGGGATTTGGCCCACAACCTGGGCATATGCCCTGACCAGGAATCAAATCAGTGACCTCCTGGTGCGTGGGTTGACACTCAACCACTGAACCACACCAACTGGGCTGTTTTTATTGATTTTAGAGAGAGAGGAAGGGGGTGGGGGAAAAGAGAGAGAAACATCAATGTGCGAGAGAAACATTGATCTGTTGCCTCTCGTGTACACCCAACCAGAGATTGAACCTGCAACCTGGGTATGTGCCCTGACTGAGAATCAAACCTGCGACCTTTCTGTGTACGAGATGATGTTCCAACCAACGGAGTCACACTGAGGCTTTTTAAAAGTCACACTGAGGGCTACCCTGAGGCTTTTTAGAACGCTTAAATCCCATTCCAATCAGCTCCTCTCTTTTGTTTTTGGGGGGCTGCTCCTGCTTTGCATGTTGTGAGCACTCGCCTCGTCCACTTGGAGGCGATTCCACCCTGCAGCCTGACCTGTCTCGCTCTGCCGCCCCCAGGCCTTGCTGAAATCCAGTGCTCGCTGCCGCTGCAGAACAGGCGGGTGTCCCTGCAGGAGCTGTCGGAGGCCAGCTTCAGCGAGTGCAAGTTCAGCCTCTCGCTCACAGACCTGTTCATCATCATCTTCTCGGGCGTGGCCGTGTCCATTGCTGCCATCATCTCCAGCTTCTTCCTGGCCACTGTGGTGCAGTGTTTCCAGAGGTGCACCCCCAACAAAGACGCCGAGGAGGAAGACGAGGAGGAGGACGACTGAGCCACCCCTCCCTCTCCTCGCTGGCCAGAGCCCAAGCTGCTGACTCCCCACCAAAAAGAGAGGGAAATGCTGGAAGCAGAAAAACTGACCACAGGCAGCGCCCAGAGCACAGGGCGGCCCCTGCTCCGTGCCTTGCACCCCAGGTGCGCAGGGTGGGACCTCCGACCTCAGAGCGCCGAGTCCGCAGGGCGAGGAGCCCAGGAAGGCTTTCTGGAGGAGAGGCTGCCTCTCAGCTTGAGGTGTGTGCATGGGGGGACCAGGGCAGCCTTCACCAGCCTCGGGAATATGAGACCGGCCGTTCCCGCCCACCACGATGATTCTGTGACGTCCACCTCTCTGCCCTGCCCTGGCGACCAGGCTGCATCTCCTTCCTGCCAAGAGGCTGCAGCTCAGACCGTCGGGGTTGGGACTCAAGTCCCTCTCCCACGTTTGGCCGACGTGGTGCCGAGGAGAAAGCCAAGAACTGGCCAAAGGGTGTTTGCTGGTCCATTTTGGTGAGCGTGTCGGGGAAACTTATGTGGATGGAACTCAAAACCTGATCCTCATCCTCAGAGGGAGCAACCCAGAGGGGAAGGACAGTCGTTCTGAACTGCCAAGCGACGGCCGCAGCTGAGAGTCTGTGCCCCTGCGGCTGTTTCCCTCCCTGTCCCCACACCGTGCCCCAGCGCGCCCCTCAGCCTTTCTCTGGCTGGCACCGGTCCCCACTTCCAGCCCCAGCACTCACGCCGAAACCTCCCTGGGGGCCAGGCTTCCAGCAAACAGGTGGCATCAGACCCACAAAATGGTAAAATAACGAAACAGGTGAACCCGGACTTGGCCTCAGAAAAGCCGCCTCCGTGGCCTTGGGGCGTGTGACATTTTTTGGCGCAGAGGCGGGACCGGCAGTGTGTTTGGATGTGGTTCAGAGACCGACTGAAGCTGACAGTGTCGGGAGCCCAGCGGGTTAACAAAGGCGACACGTGTTCGCAGCAGTGGACCTCGCTGGCACTGACCCTTAGAGGAGGGGCCCCTGACATGCTCCAGGGACATTCCTGGGCCTCGGGACTCCATTGTTTCATAATACACTGCTTAGGTGTCCTCCTCCACGGAGAGTCAGAGGGTTTGCTAAGCGCCGGGCATTGAATAAGAACGGTCCCTGCTCGCGTGGGCCTCATATGACTACGGGTGGAGCACGGAGCAGACAGGTGAGCAGCACTGATCGCCAGCAGCGTGAGCGCCGTGAAGGCGATGAATGAGGTCTCATGGCACAGCAACTGGTAGGAGCCGCTCACGAGTGGGCAGTTGGGTGTATTAGCCAGGGTTCTCTAGAGAAACAAAACCAACAGGAGATATGTATAGTCTGCCTGTCTGTCCGTCCATCCATCCGTCCATGCATCTGTCCATCCGTCCGTCCATCCGTCTATCCATCCATCCGTCCGTCCATCCATCTGTCCATCCATCCGTCCATCCATCTGTCCATCCATCTGTCCATCCATCCATCCGTCCATCCATCCGTCTGTCCATCCATCCATCCATCCATCCATCCATCCATCCATCCATCTTTCCATCCATCCATCCATCCATCCATCCATCTTTCCATCCATCCATCCATCCATCCGTCCGTCCATCCATCCGTCCATCCATCCGTCTGTCCATCCATCCATCCATCCATCCATCCATCCATCCATCTTTCCGTCCATCCACCCATCCATCTGTCCATCTGTCCATCCATCCATCCATCCATCCATCCATCCATCTTTCCATCCACCCATCCATCCGTCCATCCGTCCATCCATCCGTCCATCCATCCGTCTGTCCATCCGTCCATCCATCCGTCCATCCATCCGTCTGTCCATCCACCCATCCACCCTCCACCCAGGGGGATCACAAGGAATTTGCTTACATGATTATGAAAGCTGAGAAGCCCCATGATCTGCATTTGGTCAGCTGGAGAGCCCAGGGAAGCCAGGGTTTGGTTCCAGTCTGAGTCCAAAGGCCTGACCACCAGGTTAAGTCCAGTGTGAGGGCAGGAGAAGACCCAGGTCAAGCAGTCAGGCAGAGAGAGTGGTCTCCTGCCTCCTACCATTTTGCTCTGTCCGGTCCTCACCAGAGTGGATGAGGCCCACCCACTTTGAGGAGGAGGATCTGCTCTGCCCAGTCTACAGATTCTAATGACACCCTCTGGAGACACCCTCAGACACACCCAGGAGCTGCCAGGATCCGGCCACCCTGCGACCCAGTCAGGTGGACACACAAAATGAACCCTCACATTGGGGAAGGGCTTTGATTGGGTGGCTCGGAGCTGATCCTGCTTCCTCTTTCTCTCACCTCCTGGCCCCCCTTTCTCCCTTCTCCCACTCCCACACAGGAGGAGACTCGGTTCCCCTTCCAGTTGCCAGCATCGGTGGCTCCAGTGGAGGGGACCCCGGGCTCGGAGGGGCTGTTTTCTCCCAGGGTCAAGGGGCGGGTGGGGAAGCAGGCAGCACCTCCCCAGACCCCAAGGCTGAGTCACCACCTCTCTGGGCTCCACCTTCAGTGCAGATGCTGCCACTGAAGAAACAACGCCAAACTGAAACTGATAGTCTCGCCTGGCCGGTTTGGCCCAGCCATTAGAGCGTCGGCCCGCAGACCAGAGAGTCCCGGGTTCGGTTCCCGCTAAGGGCACGTACCTCAGTCGCGGTTTGTCCCTGGCCCCGGTTGGGGTCGTACGGGTGCCAACCAGTTGATGTGTCTCTCTCATGTTGATGTTTCTCTGTCTCTCTTCCTCCCTTTCTCCCTCCCACTCTATATGAAAATAAATGCAATAATAATAATAATAATAATAAAACTGATCTTCGTGAACTACTAGGTGATGCTTGAATTTTAGTCTAAAGGTTCCAGTCATTATTTACACCTTCTTATGAATGAAATTTCCTGAAGAAGGGTTTCACACCAGGAGAGGGGACTGCATTGCCAGGTCTGCCTGGGGAGACAAAACGTCACGAAGGGGCAGGGTTCAGAGGCACAGCACAACCCCCGCCTGGCCCCAGACTCCGCCGAGACCCGCGTGGGGCCGGCATTGCTGCCTGTCATCACGGTCTCCACTCCCTACCCCAGCAGCCTACGGGGAACATGGCTAAAGGCCCTGGACCCAGCTGGGCCCCTGCCAAAGCCGCAAGGTGCCGCTCCCAGGATCCTAGGAAGACTGTCCCGAGCTGTGGAAGTATCAGTAGACCCTGTTCCAACAGGCTCTGGTGAGTGAATTCCCTCTTATGGGCCTTTTTTTTTTTTTTTTAAATCCTCATCCGAGGACATTTTTACATTTATCTTCAGATAGAGCAGGAGGGAGGGAGGAAGAGAGAGAGAAAAATATCGACATGAGAGATACACATTGACTGGTTGCCACCCACATGACCCCAACCATGGCTGGGGACAAACTGCGACTGAGCCCTGGCCAGTTTGGCTCAGAGATTAGAGCGTCGGCCTGTGGACCAGAGAGTTCAGGGTTCGATTCCCGCAAGGGGCATGTACCACCAAAAAAAAAAAAAAAACAAAACGAAGAAAAACTGCAACCGAGGTACATGCTCTTAGCAGGAACCGAACCCAGGACTCTCTGGTCCACAGGCCAACGCTCTAACCGCTGAGCACACTGGCCAGGGCCACGAGTCTGTTTTATTCCTGTCTGCCTCGGGTTCATCCCGGTCAGTGGGCACAGCCCTGCACAGCACAGGGGCTAGTGGTCCTCTCCCGAATGAATGAGTAACTAGGAGTGTGCAGCTGGGCTTGCTGAGCACCCATCACCCATCATTTCTGCCGGCTGCACCTCCGTTTTGGAACAAACATGATTCTAAGGAAGAAGAACTTGAGAACATGGCCCATGGGGACAGTCCCTGCCTGGACATAAAGTTCCTGTGAAACACGGGGGACGTTGGGGACATGAGGGATGTCTGCCATCAAGCCCAAGAAAATATGCTGACCAGCTCACCTGGAAGTGTCTTTTGAGAAGTGACATTGCACAGACAGCGGACAGTGGACAGTGCTCTCAGACTTGCTGCAGGGTCTCAAGTTATTATCCACAGTGACAGTGACGACGCTCTATACCGTCAAGGGCCTCCAGGCAGCAGGAATGCCCCTCCAGCCTCCACAAGTGTCCCTTGGGTCTCATGTTACCTCCTCAGAGTCACTCTCCTGACACCACGCCGGCCTGCCTCCTGCACAGTGCCCACCATGCTGTGAAATGACCCCACTTCTTTGGTTATTATCTGCCTCTCGGGACTGGAATACGAGCCCCCCAAGGGCAGGAACTTGGGCCGTGTGTGTCGCTGGCATTTAGTACCTGGTACATAGTAGTGGGACAACAATATAATGCTGGTCGAAAGAGCAACAGATGGGACCTTAGTAGAAAACCCGCAGACGTGAACTGTAGTTAAACATCCTCACAACTGCAGGCGAGAGCTGCCGTTATCCCAGTGTGGTCGAGGAGGAGCCCGAGGCTCAGAGGAGGGGAGGTTACAGCCGTGGAGTGGGACTGGGCCACAGGTGCGCGGACCACCGCACAGCCTCTGCATCCGGCTGCGTACCCTTCTCTGGCCAGCGGGGACAGTGTGGAGCGGCCCCTCTCCCAGGGCTGTGCTGGGCTCCAGCAAAAAGCCTGGTCAGGTGCACCCAGAGTGAGTTTCTTTTGAGCCTCAGACCCAGCCTCTCGGACCCCTTCAAGAGAATCAAAACCGCCAAAATATCTTGTCTCACTGTCTTGCTCTCCTCAGGACCTGATGACCAGAGGATTCGGCAGCATCACCAATGAATTCATCTTATTGTGACGACAGCCAGTAGCAGCAGTGTAGCCCCTGGACCTGGGCAAGGGGTCCTTCCAGAACATTCTCTGGGTCCTCAGGATTCCAGAATTTCCTGCACAATTGTCCCCACACTTGGGAGTGGTGGGCGTGTCTTCCCAGCATCCCTCCTCCAGAGTGGGCCGGGTGGCCAGGCAGTGGCTACTGCTGGGGGCGTCCACACAGGTTTGAGGCGCAGGATGGAGCCAGGGCTGGAAAAAGAAAGGGGGAGGTCCTAGATGCCCCCGCTCTCCCCACACTGCCTGATTTCCAGGAATTCAAGAACCAGCATTTAAACCTGGTCTTCCAATTCACTAACAAGGTATTTTTTGCAAGGTAGCTGGGCAGAAGGGTATCAGCGCTCTTGTCCTGGCTTTACAGGTGTTACAGGTGCGCCTGGGTACCACAGCAGGGACCAGAGGGCAGCCACCCACCCTGGCTGTGGCCCCAGGACCAGATGCCACTTTTGCCGTGCGTGGCTGGTCAGAATGGGCCTTGATCTAGGAAGGTTGAAAGCCCTGGCCGGTTTGGCTCAGCGGTTAGAGCGTCAGCCCGTGGACCAATGAGTCACGGGTTCGATTCCAGTCAAGGGCACGTACCTCGGTTGCAGTTCATCCCTGGCCCCAGTTGGGGTTGGGGTCATGCGGGAGGCAACCAGTCGATGTGTCTCTCACACATTGATGTTTCTCTTTCCCTCCCTCCCTCTCTATCTGAAGATAAATAGAAAAATGTCTTCAGGTGAGGATTAAAAACCAAGAAAGGCCGGGGAACGTACGCACACCAGTCACTTGCAGTGATGGGGAAGGGTTCACAGTGAACATTCATGCTTCTCCCCATCTTCTTCCTCCTCTCCTTCCTCCTCCTCCTCCACCCGATGTCCCTATAGGCATAGACGGCCAAGGTTACAGGCATGAGTCCCAGGTGCAGGCAGCGGCTGGGGCGGTGGCTTTTCCGATTCTATTCTATTTACCTGGACCCTGGAGCATCTGAAGGCTCTACGTCTCCCTCATCATCCCACCACCACCAGCTGAACCAGCGCCCGCCCTGGACCTTGGCTATAAACTCATTTTCAGTGGCTTCTAGGGCCCTCGAGAGTGAAAGTAATTTGTTATTTGCAAAGTGGTCGAGTTGTACCCTGTACAGGAAACCTCCCCAAAGCAGACCCCTGTGGCCCCCATTTGCCTGCGACCCATAGTCCGGACCCTTCGTTAGGAACCCACTGTTTGCTGGAGTTCCACCGGAACCCACGCCGGGAGCCTTGATGGTGAATAATCAGAGAGAAGCCACCTCGTGTTGACCCGTCTCCGAAGGAGCCCGGGGTGGTCAGATCGACCCTGCAGTCAGGTGTCCACTCCCTTGGCCATGCCCTCCCTGTGAACAGAGGAACACTGACTTCTTGGCACTGTTATGAGAACAGCGAAGTGATGGGAGGGACCACCCGCACACGGTCCTTTCCCACCTCCTTCAGAAGCCCGGCGGTGCCTCCTTGAGCACTCCTGGGGGCCAGAAGAGTGTGGCCTCAAGAGAACGGTAGAGTCGGAGCTCGAATCCCAGCTGCAGGTAACAGGAGACCCG